TATTAAAAATTTAACATTCTTTGAACTTTCGGTGCTTTCGATTTTCACCATTCCAAAATGTTTAATGGTTATATGAACTGTTTAAATGGCTGGTGCAACATGCCTCCTGGTCGAAGATTCATGTTTGTTTGTTTCTTTCTTTGTGTGTGTGTGTGTGTGTTTTATTCAAACCAAGGTTTGTTTCCAAAAACAATTTGGAATTGTGTGTTCCGATGGCAATTGATGTTAATGTGGGGTCTGCTAAGTCAATGGAGGCAATTAACAGACTGAGAAATCAACCTATAACAATATCATTGATCATTAGTGCCCAATATAATAGAAAGCCAAGCCTACAAAGTCAAAAATAGGAGAAAATCTTAAATAAAAAGTAGAAGAAAGTTCACAAATGCCAAAAAACAGCAGAAAAGAAAAAAGGAAGAAGTGTAAAGGCAAAAAATTACAGTGCAGGGGAATTCTGAAGCACACAGGTTCTACAGAATCTCTCAACGCCATTTGTGATATCACAGCTTCATCTTAGTGCTACTTGCAGAAATTATGTTTAATTGCAGTTTCACTTCAAGATATTATAGTAATATGTTCACTCTTATCATTGTTGTTGTTATTGTTATTGTTGTTATTATTTATTATTATTATTATTATTATTATTATTATTATTATTATTATTATTATTATTATTATTACTACGGTGATAAGGGTTTTGTTGTGACAGTAGCACTACTTTAAACATTTTATTTAACAACAGGATTATTTTTCCAAACTTCATCAAGCAGTATTTTAAAAAAATTCTTTTAACTTAAATACTTGCTTACTTGTGTTTCAAATTCAAACAATATTTTGTTCACACACATCCATTGAATTGGTGGGAAGGGTGGCAGGAGGGAAAAAATAAAAAGAAAAAAGAAGAGGAAAAATCAACATCCTTACAAAACAATCATTTTTTTGCATAACAAAACAAAAATAGTTAAAAACTATTGACAATTAATTGAATACAATTAATTTAAATTAATTCCTAATATAAATATAATGCATGTCCTACAAAAATTTTGTTCTCTTATGTGCAAAACTATGAAAGTCAAGGCTGTGACATGTCCCCGTAAAAATTAAATTAGTAGAAAGTGAATGTCTCCCATTATTTTAGGTTTCAAATAAAATGTTAACATTTTTCAGTAGTATTCTAATTTCAACTTCATCCCATAACATTAAATTCAGTACAAGGAAACAATACATATTTCAGATCAGAAAATTAATGGTTTTCTATTCACAACTGCACCAACAATACATTCCCCCCCTTTTTTTAGTATGCCTGGCTCTAAATACTTGATTATGCTATATCACCTCATACACATTTTTAACATGAAATTAAAAACAAACAACCATGACGTGCTTTCAGAATAACATGAACAAACATGAAAAAAATTTTAACATAAAATTAAAACTAAAATTATATACAATATTATTTCAAATATAATTTCATAAAATTTGAATAGATATGCACTTTATTCCACAAATATTAATGCAAAGAAGAAGAATCTTCTTGGCTATCTGTGAGATGCTGCATCGAAGACTGATGTAAATAAAAAGATTAGCTTTTATTATCTTGTAATGCTATCCATCAAAGTAGTACACAGATATTACAATAGTGTCAAAAATTATAGTAATAACAGTCAAAATATCAGAAAAGCTTCAAGAATTGGATAACAACTTCACTCATCTTTGGTTTAAAAATTTAAGCCAAATTTTCTTTCGTTTGTGCCACACGTTTTCACAAACCCTTCACAACACGAACAGGTATAAACCAATGATAACCCTATTTGATTTCTCTCATTAAATAATTAGATTATAAACTGAGTATTCATTACAGCAGGAACTAAGATTCCATTTGCTATACTACATTAAAAGGTGTGAAAAAAATGGATTCCAAAAATCTCTAACAATTTAATATTAAATGCATTTCAATAGGCATTGAAAATAATCTATCAATTACATATCAGTATTTGTAAATCTGCCAAACATTTTAAAAAATATTTACAGTGATTTAATATTTTTTCTTTAATCTTGCTCTGTACCTTTTAACCTTACTGCTACAACATAAGGATCAAAATGACCCGAAGCCATGAAAAACGTGCGTGCTTGACAGGATGGTGGTGGGCATTTATTTGGAGAAAATGAGAATTTATTGTTCATTGAAATTATGAAAAATATGTATTTTAAAAGAAAAGAAGAAAAAAAGTTCCTAGAATGTTAAAATTAAATAATTTACACAAAAAATGTGAGTTTGGTCAAAAAGACCTAACGTTGTAGCACATGACTTGGTATTTCATCTTTTAGGCCAAAGCCCATTACCATTCTTTACAAGAAAACCGTTTTCTAAACAATAGAATTTTACAGAACAAAAAAATACTCTTTCCCCAAACATATTTTCCACAAATCAACACACTTCCCTTCCTCACCTAACATCTAAATACTGGTGAGGTCACTAAAAGAACACTATTTCCTTTTGTTCATTCTCTACAACATTCATTCAACACATTCTCTAATTACTACAACCTTTTGATGACTTCCAATCATTGTTTAGAATAGAACATATAGAAAGTTAGTTAGTATTGTCACGCAAATTTTCTATTACAAATCAAGCCAAAAAATCTTAAGATTCATAAAAATGACAACACAAATATCTCTTGTTAAAAACAAATTTCAACAAAGTTTTATCAGTTTCATTCAGTTTTTAAATAATAAAAAATAAAAACTTTAACTCTATACTTAAATAAAATTTTACAAACAAAACAAGATAATTTAAATATTCATAACAAAACTACAAAAACACCTTACCTTCTCTATAAAAATTGCAAATCCCACACCCATCACAAATTATCAAACTAATCTCTAACATGCCATCTGCCACAAAGCCAAAGGACAGTCATCCAAAAAATGTGGTTTCATTCGAAGGGTGTTATGCTTCAACACAACATGAAAGGAGTGAATAGTGGAAATTATTCTTAGTGTTTTTCTTAATAATCATTTTAATTTTAGATAAATAACACTAAAAAAGAAGCATGTACAGTACATCTAATAGAGTGCATAACAGTAGCGTAACAAAATGAGTGTGGGCCCACCTGCAAAACCTTTAACTGGGCCCCTTTTATAAAAGGGTTTAGCAAACACTTAGTACAACATTTGTCTTTTAAATAATAAAATTATCCTTTAATAAATTCATATTTACCAGTCTATAATTAATAACAATAGTACAAAAATCTGCCTTTATTATTTAATTTTATGAAATTAAGAATGTTATAAAACCTAAATGAATTTCTTACCTTTATTGATTTAGAAACCGGGTTATATAAACTACCAAAGCGGATAAAATCGTTCTTCTGGAAGTTGCTTTTTTAAATATTTTATTGTATCAACTATCGCAAAGTATCAGAGAAAGTATCAAGTAATTTATATTTCTTACAATCGCAAAATCTTCAGTCTAAAAATAGACCCTCTATTACCTGGGCTCAGCCGCATTGCAAGCCTCGCGGGCCCGAACGTTACGCCACTGGTGCTTCGAAATTAAATCTTTTTCCTTAAAATCCTCCAAAGCTGTTTTTTATTAAACACTTATATCCTACATGTCTGCAGTAGCCGAGAATATCAAGAAACACTGTTTTAAATTGCACATTAAGAACATGGTTGAACTAAATCTAAATTTATACAGAAATTTGTGTGTTGTATGTACTCATTCAAAAACAATGAAACTTACATTCATTACAAAACAATTTACTGTTTCTTAATTTTTTTCAATCCAAAAACAGTTCAATCTTGAGACAAAAACAATCATTGCACCTATTGAAATGGCCATCGGAAGTGAATACATTTAACAGGAGACACACAAAAGACTCTGAAATATTAGTTTTCTTTGTATCATGGGTTAATACACAATTACATTTACGGTACAATTAAGGTATCAATTCTAAATAGTTTCTTCCTACTTAGAGTGGTCATAACTTCTTTTCGTAAAAAAAAAAAAAAAAAAAAAAAAAAAAAAAAAAAAAAAAAAAAAAAAAAAAGTGCACGTAATGAGTTTTGCAGGCACAATGACCCCTCTTCAACAAGTCGATACAATGACACAGAACATTAGAAATAAATACCAATATGATTGTTTACTATCAAAAACAGCTTATTTCATCAGATAGCAAAATTCACTTTTTTGCCTTTTGCGATGCTTAGGGAGTCCTCCACAACCTCCAATATATCTATATTTCCAGTTTATTTTTCATTTAAAATTTATCAAGAACATATCCCATTTTTCATCAAACTGGAGAAAAATGTGAGAAGATTTTTGTCTCTTGTAAAGTTTACACAAATGTAATTAGCAGGTTTTGATTGCAAACACCTCAGTTATGGTTTCACCGCATCCTAAAGTTCAAAAAATTCCACTCTTAAGAATCAGGCTGGACAGGATACATTTTAAATTATCTCTTTATAAACAATAACGCATGCTAATAAAAGCTTAAGTATAACTGCCTTCAAAAAAAAAAAGAATAAAAAATATATACAATTGAAATTGAAAATTCAATTCACATTTTAAAAGTTTCACATTTACCCAAATAACATACCAAGTGTAAGGTACACTGTTTTCAAGGGGATCTTCCTCTTTCATGCAATGATCTTACTCATTCAAGTATGTATGATTAAGATTGTATTTGCTTTAACAATATCTATGGTATTTGTTGTAAGTAAAATGTTTCTGAAGTTACAGGTAAGAAAGAAGTCTTTATGAACATTAAGTACAGCAATACGAATTTTCTTTGGGGTACATTAACATAGATCTATTTACAATGCCCACAGACATCTTTTAGTCATAAAATTCTTGTTATTGTATACCATTCACAAACTAAAATGAAGTCAACAAATCTGCAATTATGGTGATTCCAAATACCAGGAAAAAGAAATTTAAACACCAATCTAATATGACAACAACCTTCTCCACTGGTATTTTACATTTATATTTACCCAATTAAAACATCAAATAGCTCCTGCACCACTGCTGCCCTATGACCAGCAATTGATGAACAGGAAATAGCAGTAAAGAAGTATTTATCGAAGATTGGGAACAATTTATTTCCTGAAGAGAATGCACAACAGATTATGTGAATGTAAATCCTTCAATTTAAGTTTTAAAATAATGTTTCTTTTTCCCCAATTTTAAAACCACCTTTGGAAACATATGGAATGAGCCAAGAATCAGAACATATGATGAGCTACATCAGGCACTACAGTGAAAGTATTTATTTCTCGAGCTCACAGAGGTGAATAACATTAAAGAGTCAAACAATTCATAGATCTGTGTAATATTTTTTTGTAAAAACAGAAGTTATATAAAATATCAAATGTGCCTGTACATTTTTTATATAATATACAAATATTTCAACGTAAATAATTGAAAATAATAAGTATCTATGTGTTATACTGAAGCAGAGGAAGAAGTAAATGAGAATAAAAGAATTTCAAACAACACTATGAATGATACAGAACTTTTCTTTGAGCATCGAACTCAAGGTTTCAACTTGCAAAACTCAAAGCGTTAGACACTCTGACTGGGAATCAAACCTAGGTCTCCGTTTACTAACAAGTAAAAAAAATATTATCTAATAGGCCAATTTGAATTGCAATGCACATTCTTGGAGAGCTCCAAAGGTAAAAATAATTTCCACATTTGAGGGGTGGAAATTCAAAACTCGTTAAGTGCCAAAATTGACCTACTGAGTAAATGAACATCATACACCACCTATATTTCGGAAGTCAAGATGTAATACGTAGTTGGTGATGTGTTATTGGCATACACGTATTTGAAGCAATTTCAAAATAATAAATCATGTACAAAAAAATAAATAAATAGGGAGCTATATCCAAAAATGTCTTCATAAAGCACATGAATGAGTATAGAACTTTCCATTTTTTTTTTTAATCAATGAAATATAGCATAGACAGCTAAATCAACACATCTTTTTACTAGAGTAAGTGTGTGATCAGCTGAGAGCAAATTCAACACTGCAATATTGTGGACACTGGATCCTCTGCATAAAACACAAGTAGACTAATCTTGCTTCTCACTGAATTTTTTTGTACTTTATAATACCAGGATTGTCACGAACTGTAGCCACATTAACTATGAAATCTTTAGTTTTTTAATGTTGATTGTACAGGATATCCTTGGAGGAAACGTCGAAACTTCGAAAATAAGGTTTTAAGACAATTTTAATCATTTTTTGTCTAATAAACTACTTGGATATTCTGAATGGCTGAGTTGCAATAAGCACTCAAAAGTTTGTTTAAAAACATGCTTTCTAGGCAAAAATTGCATTGCAGAAGCATATAAACACTCCAGAAACATGTAAATTGTTTATTATATACAAAAGAAATGAATATATTTGTCCAAAAAGAAAAAAATTAAACACAGAAATAAAAAAGCACCCAATTTAAAAATTTTAACTGCTTTTTATTTCTGGGTTAATTTTTTTCTAAACATTCATTTCTTTTGTAAATAATAAACAATTTACATGTTTCTGGAGTGTTTATAAGCTTCTACAATGCAAAGTTTTGCATAGAAACCATTTTTTCAAATCAACTTTTGAGCGTTTATTGTGACTCAGCCATTCAGAATATCCAAGTAGTTTACTAGACAAAACATGGTTAAAATTGTCTTAAGAGTTTATACTAGAAGTTTCTATGTTTCATCCCCAGGCAGCCTGTACATGAAGATGTCTTACAAAAATCAAAAAATGTGTATAACCTTGTTAGGATTTTTATAGGTTTAGCATAGCTATAGGTGATTCCACATTATCACGAATTTGACATTTTGAAATCTTTTTCAAAAAGGGGGAAATCCCTTTTTGAAGGTGAGGAACAATGATCAACAATATCAAAATTAATGGCAGATCCTCTTAACTTATTTTAAAGCAACTACAATCCTACAGGAACATTATACAACTATTTTTAATAGTGCATGGTTTCTTGATTGCGTTGATTAATTGTATGAAAGTTTTCTTGAGTATAGGTCGTTAATAAGAGGTCAAGAAGAGGACATGTAATGAGACGACTGCTGTGGCAAGGTGGTGTGTTATGTAAAAGTAATGTATGGAAATGAAAGCCAGGAAATACAAGAAGAAATATGTGGGAAGGAAGAGTTGTTAGAATGTGGATAGGTTCGAGAGATCCGGAGTAAAAATGCCCTATTGAAAGCTTAATAAAAGCTGAAACGTTGGCACTTTAAATGATTTATTAATGACCTGAACTCAAGTAAACTTCCATATAACTATTTGAAGTTTATTTTTTCCACACACAATACTTCTGGTTACTAATTCTTGTCATGTGTTTGGTAAACTTTTTAGTTCGTATCTTTATTCTTGTACTTTTAACAAGTTCACCCATTATCATCACAAAACTAATTCACTAAATGTTTTTTATACATTTGTACCATCAACAAGAAATTGAGTAAATGAGCCTTGTGTGGGCACTTAAAAATTTTAGAACATCCAAACTACCTGGCCATATAACAAGCACTATTTTAATAATGATTGGAATACTTTCAAAATGTTCATGGACAAAACTCTTGAAGGAGTGCACTGGCATTGGCACATACAATCATTAGGTGATCATAACTTGTTTTCATCAATTTTGGCACTTGACGCATTTAAAATTTCCATGCCACTAGTGCAATGGCACACCACTGTGGTGTAGTGAAATATCATACAATTTCAATAACCGAAAAACTGGTTACAGAATTATTTTTTTTTTTAGAGAGAGCAAAGTATTTTTATAACAAAATTTAATCTCTCTCTCTCAAGCTTTGTACTATATTCATACCACTATATATGATGCTTTCAAATAATTAAGTATAAATAATATTTAAAAACCAGAGAAGCAAGAGCACATTTGAAGACAGCCTTGATACATACTATATTATAAAAAAGATAACTTTTCTTTGCGAGACCATCCTGCTCCAATCAACCCTTTGCCACACATTACTCAAAAATACAAATAAAGAGAACTGATCACGAAACTACACAGTTTAAAATTAGAAATATTAAAATTTTGAACAATAAAATTTATTTCCTCTCAAAGGCACTTCTACACTGATCATTCTTTACAGAAAACAAAGGTTCCAGAATGATTTATTACTGGATTTGAGTAAAATATAAACAAGCTTTAAATGGTTTTACACAATAATTCTTTCCAAACAAAATTACTCCATTTTGTAATTTATAATCATGATTATCATAATGTTGCACATTCACGAGTTTGTTTTTGATTTACTTTGAATCAAATTAAATGAATTTGCAACTTTCGAAGTAACTGCAAAACAAACTAAACACTTGTCCAAATATAGTCCCAAGATTTGTTGGTTCACAAGGAAGAAATGAAAATTTTGGCAATTCAAATACGGTTTCCACCTTTCAATTTACTGACACTTAATTACTCAATAACTCCGTAACATTCACTCACATCAATAACTGATCTCTCACTGTTGTAATTTAACATCTAACTCTTTGTGGCAATGGCTAATCAGGTGATAAACGAGCAGCTTGGTCATCATTTTCTTTGCATCTATATCAATCCTTTTCTGTAATAGAATATTTTTTCCCCATTCGAAACGTCAAGCATATCTTCAAACTTCTCATCAACAAACTCTTATAACAAAACAGTCAAAGTAGTAAAATATTTTAATTCTTGCTTCAGATAAATTTAACTGAATTACATGAATATTGGTGATTTCCTAATATCACATAAAATAAGTGTTCAAAAAAAACTAGTATTTAATGTTAATAAAAGAAATTGATCACAAGATCTATGGATTTATTTCATAGTTACACACTGCAAATTTTGTTTCATATTATTAAATTTCACCACTGAAAAAGCACAAACGACACGAATTCAACTTATGACAAAACTCATCCAATTTGTTTATTGAACAGCAAATCGCAACAATATACTAAGCAGCCACAATGAAAATAAGTTTCTATGATGTGCCATCAATCCATCTATTCAAATGCAGTAATGAAATGGATCACTTATCAAATAAAGTAGTGAAAGTATTATCTCAAAGGGTCCAATCATCTCTAATTAAAGCAGTTTGATTTTAAAATATTATTTTTGCTTATAAAAAGTTGTTTTGTAATGAAAGTAATCATGATTCTTTCAAACAAAATTAGTAAATAATAATTTACTTCACAACAGATTTCCCAATATTTGTACACAAAGATACCATCAGGCAAATAAGACACTCAAACCAATGGACAATAACTCAGACATACACATTCATATGCATACATACGGCCATTACTAAAAAGTAATTCATCCAGTCTTTCCCTTTACAATATTTTGTACAAAACACATTATGGATAAATAGTTCATGGAAACTTTACATAAAAGAAAATTCCCCCAAACCTTCAAGAAGTTATGAAGTATGGGCAAATTTCAATACTGCGCACTAATGTATGTAACATCATGACACAGATATCTTTACAAAACTAAATCATTCAAGTCAAGGCACAAAATGGTTGACTAGGCACACACAAGTAAACCAGGAGAGAATGACACAGACTGAAGCATCTCCATTCTCTCATAAAATACCTAAACCACTGGCTAAAGTAGACGTCACAGTGTGAATGATAATCAGCTGGTAACCACACAAATGTCCTAGCTGCATCATTCTAACCTAGGAAAGAAGCACCCAAAGTTACAATCCATTTTATATGACCGTATCAAATTTCAAAACCTTCTTCTACTTACCCACTGTTCTGATAAGTTGTGGTCCATGATATGGAGCAGCATCCATATAAAAATCAGCTGGCGATTCTATTCGGTGGAGTATGGTGATATGTTTATCAGCATGAGGCAGATATCGCACCCTCACAGGAGTGTGAGAATAAAATTTCCACTCCAAAGTTGGCTGACTGGCTTGGGGTTTCAGATCATCATAGAGAGGAGATAATATTTCAATAATGGCAGCAGGGCCAGAATCACTATATATTTCATGGCAATTTTTATTGCCAGGTGTAATTATTCTTGGCCCACTAGACTCATCTGCATAGATTTCTTCAAGTTTCTCAACCAGTAAAGCTTTCTTGTTGATACACTTTTCTTCTCTTATTTTCTTCTGTGCACTAGGGGAGAGTACATTAAATGCTTGTATTTTAACTCTTCCGGATAAAACTTTAAGAAGACCATATGTCTTGGGATGTCGGTGTAAAGGTAATTTAGCACCAGGCATGAGTACAAAAATTGATATACCAACTCTGTCGTCTTCGTACACTGTTATAACAGTAACTGGTGACCTTGGAGGTAGAAGCAAGTTTCTATCTAAATTAACCTCATCAGCCGTAACCAAAGTTGCCAAAAACCACAATTTTGAAAAATTCTCCAGGAAGGCTTCGTGGGTCGTATAACTGCTTCGTTTAAACATGTATAAAGCGAGATCTAACACTCGCTGCATAACACAGTCTGTCATCTACAATGATTAAAATGTTTCCTTTTCACAGAAAAAAACTTTCCTAGTGTTGATGCATACTATCAGATATTATTAAGAATATAAATGTGATTACCAAGTATCCATCGAAGGTTATCGTGTCACCCGGTTCACCGCGAATGAGCCAACCACGGCACCAACATCTACTGTACCGGCTTCGTCTTTCCGGTATTTTGTATTACAAATCACTACAATTTCTTAGTGACGGAAAATCTTGAAACCCGACAGAAGCAGTGGTCAAGCTGGTAGCAACGAGACCTGACACTTTCGTAACTCGTATCCAACATGTATTCCCTCTACTGTAGTGATGAATCGGTCAGATAACCGGTCCTGACTGATCGGTCATTTGATTGGTCATTGAGTCACTTTCAAAGACGAAGTAAGTGAAAATATCGGTCATATCGCAAAACGGAAAATGCGTGCTCTTATTGAATTTTTTATTTTTTATTATAACATATTTCATCCACATATTTTTGCTGTTAAATATAATAATGTGCTAGAACGTCAAATGTATAGGGAAAGAAAGTGTTGAAATGTTTTGGAATCTTGCAATGACCCGTTCACTGAAGCAAAATTTCTAGCTTGGAATCGAACTGAACTTTCGTGATTTACGGGATACTGTTATAAAAACGTAATGCAATATCATGCTAAAAATACAGAACGAAAACCCTCTTTGTAAATATTATTTACGAAACGTATTAGAAAGAGACAGAACATTTGAAACAAAATCCTTTGTTGACACCAAGATGAGTGTGTGTTGAAGAGAAAGGGTGAAATCAGGGATCCAGGAAAGAAGCTATGAAGATTGATGAAGAGTCAGTCAATGGGGCGCTAGTATTATATCGCAATTTGGAAACTTGTCGCTTGCATGCCATAGAAATCGTATTTATGTTAGCCAATTTAGTTGAGATGTGAAATACAAGTAGTCAGATGGGATATTTGTACTGAGGATCAGGTGATTAGATTGCTTTTCAATTTTTTTTAAATTCAGAGTCAATTGGTCTATTATTAAATCAAGGCACGCCGGTCCCTGAAACGTTATGGATAAATTCATTCGAACTCACATTAACTCACGAAAATATTTTCATTCATCCCTGAAACTAGATAGTACTAAACACAAGTTCTATCAAATTTATGAATGTTTTGTTTCCAACTCAATTCACCCTTTTAATGTTCAATTCCTTATATATTATACACGAACTACTGTGGTATATGGTATAACATGAAATAAATGTAGCACATTTTATCGTCTTCACCGAGTTGAAAAATAATGTCTCTCGAGTATCAGTGCTCGGAGAACTTTAGTTCATTCTGTGGAAACGCCAATATTAGTTAACTTTTATCAAAAGAATATTTCATAGAAATATAATAATTTTATAATCTGCATATTTCACACGCATGCTCACATTCAAATGCATTAGTGCCACGGTACTCAGGAAGGTAATTAACACCTAAATAATTGAAAGTCAAATTGTGGCAAGAGTAACATGATTATTTTTAATTTCAGATCTTGAGACATATTTGCTTGTACATATATCTTAAATGTTTTTTAAAAGTTTAAACACTAAGCAATTAAAGTGTTACCATTGGATTCGAAAAGTTTCCCGTTAAAATACATAACTGTTTGGGAATTGGTAGGATTCTAGACTACGTCATGTGAATGAAATGCGATCTATCATCTACAATTTGTGGCGATTCTATCAAGAGTGACACCCAAATTCTTACATATCTATAATTCGTTTTGGAACGGTGCTGTTGCTGAGAAAGATGTGAAAGATCCCGCTAATAGACCTATTCAAAGTTCCCGCCGTTATATTCAGAGATCTCGATAGGTTACGCTGTTGTCGCAATCAAAACCTCCTACTGGTCGTCTCCACAAAAATAGTTTGTTCTGTCTCTAATATTAGGTCTGCTCTCGCATTCGGGAGCACGAGGTTCGTTGTCATGTGTGCTGATGTGTGTTAAGTTCTTTCTTGCTGTTGACAGATTTTGATGTTAAAAGTATTGACAACATATCGGTGGTGACTTATCTTTCTGTCATCGTCTTGCATATTTTGTATAGGCGCATTTTATTATCTTCGTGGCATTAAGTCCAATACGCAATGAATGGAGGTTTGAGGTGGATGAGTCAAAGAGGTGTGACTGCAACGTGTATTTAATGTCGATCGTGTGTGACATAAAGTGCATTCGTCATTTAGTGAAATGGAAGAAATTACTCCTGCTGATATTCAACATTTATTAGAATACTTTTCGAGAAATACTTACAAAGCCAAAGAGACGGATCCCAAGGTAAACACGCAACATCGTGGAACAACCACATGTCAATTTTTTTTTGTTCTCGGTTTTCATGAAGGTAAACAATGGAGTTTTCTGTCCAGTTTAAACGGCATTATGTGTAAATTCGATTCTTACATAACCATGTTACTGACAGCTGAGCTGATTTAGATGTCAACATTACTTTTGAACAATCCAAAAGATATCAGGTGACACTATTTTGTTTTTACAGAGTCAAGATGTTATGCAGAAGTGCCTGAACTTAGTGACATTGGATTATAGTAACTTAGTAAGTACTTTAAACTTGAAATTATTCTATGCTATTTGCATAATTAAATTGAATTAATTAGGTAACTGTTATTTATTTAGAAGGTCGATAACATGAATGGATTGAGTACAAGTGTAAAATGATGTTCATCCTGATTTTACCTAAACAAAACTGTGGAAGGTAGATTTAGATTTTTTTATTGTTACATCAACAGTCAACGGGTGTTAGTTAAATTTCAGTTTAATTATTTCTGTGCATGTGTGTGTGAATTTCTTCTGCATGATCTTAGATGCAAAAGTTGCAAAAAACAAACCTTTAAGAATTATTTGTGATTTAATAATTTACTATCTTAATAGAAACAACTATAAAACTAAATTCAGTATTTTTACATGATCAACCACAATTATTATTAATAAATCCTTTGACTGTCCTTAAACGATTTGTTTTTCTTTGACTTTTCTATATGATTTTGTGCTTTATTAGCTTCGTTTTATAAAATGAATCTCGTGTACATTTTCTGTTGTTTACGACTAGTCTGTTTAAAATATAGTTGTCACTAAAATAACTAACAGCATAGTAATGATATTAAGAAAGTAGTAAATTATTACAAATATTGGTACTAATAATATTAAAGAGGAAAATTGTATCCACAACTGTGAAGGGAATATTTTATTTTTTACTGTAGCTGGAACGTCTTTCAACATCATGCCTTTCCATAGTGCCTGGAAACAAAATTTTTGTTTTAATAACTACCAAGAAACTCTTGGACACTAGCATAATTCTGTAAAAAAGAATTACTGGACTCTGATTGTGAAAATGCATTGCAATGTAGTTTACTAGGTACTTGGGCAGCCTATTGTAAAACTATGCCTGTAGCATACATACTTTCCAGGGAGAATGTGGTCGTGAGTTGTGGCTGGTGGAGTTGAGGTGCTTGGCTTGTTCTGTTGGTGTGAAGATTTATATTGCACTTGTACTGTGTTACTGTGTAAATTTGTTGTAGTTGATTGTGGTGGTGGTGGTGGTGGTGCGTCCACAAATATCATTTAACGTATGGCAGTGAAAGTATTTTAAGATTTTTAAATTGTGAATTACAAGGCAGAAATCTGTTAGTGTTTGTTATTGTTTGAAGGATTCATTTCTACAGTTAAAACATTTTTTTTTCTATGAATGTGTGGATTTATTATCCCTATTCAACACATTTGAGCATCAAGAATACATTATACTGCAATTTATCCAAATCTGCCCCTGTCAAGTATCGCCTATTGACGGTGTCATCCAGTTGGGAGCTTGAATTTCACCATAGTGATGTCATGTTCCTGCTCCTGATTGCATGAAACTGTCAACAACTGATACCTGCCACGGGCAGAGTTGGATAAATCACAGTATAGCATAATATACTGATTGCACTGTTTCTACTTCACTGCTTTTACTAAGAGTCTAATGGTATATTTAAGTTTGCTCAATGTTAAGTTAAATGCTTTTTGATGGATATTCCACTTCAGGTTGGTTTGAATGGTTAATCCAAGCACTTTTATTTCTCATTCATTTAGCTTTGTATCAGTCTGCAGAAAGTTCAGTGTATCTTTGTGTGGTCTGGGAATTGTTGAATCAATTGCTATATCTGTTTTTATTATTACATTATTTTTGTGCAAATATTGTGAGTTTGTTGATGATTGTGTTGGCAGTGTGTTAAGGCTTCTGTTGTTTGTACTTTGAATGTTTGTATCATCACCAGACAGTGCTGTTTTGTTGTTTCCCGTTATATATGAGAGATAATTGAAAAATATAAGAAAACAGTGTATGTACCAGTGTTGAACCTTGGGATAGCCCAGGAGATACAGTTAGTGGTACTGAGTAATGTTTCAAGTTACGAGTAGAGTAACTTTACTATTTGCTTTCAATTTGACAGATAAGATTTGATTCATTTGTGGGTTAAGCCTTGAAAATTGTAATACATGACTGATTTGACAGAATTATTGTCTGTTTAGATTGACAATAGTTCTGTCAAATCATTTGAAGAGAATTTCTCTTTGATTTTGTTCATTATGGATTAAGGAAATGGGTTGTACACAAGACAGTGGGGCCACAAAAGAACCACAAATAATCTTACCATTGGGAAACTTTGACATTGAACTGTTGCAAAAACATTGGAACAAATCCAATTTAATTGGTTCAGGTGCCAAAATACAAAGCAGCCACATCACCTAAACAAGTATGGGAAAACACATTAGTGGGAGTATGTGATGGACTACTTCATTGTTTGTATTGTTCTTGTGCCAATAGTATTCGAGGGATTAATTTTGTATCTTAATGTAGAAATGTGTTTTTATCTTATTACTTCAACGACAGGCATTTCTGAATTGCTCATTGTTTGTAGTGTAGTAGGTGGTCTCTTGTGGCATGAATTATCCTATTATTCTTGAGACATGAAAGCAACTTGTGAGTGTTTGTAGTTTGTTTCTTGTACTGTGTTCAACACATTTAATAGATTCAAAATAATGATATTAAAAGCTGTGAGTGTGATACTTTTTTCTGTTTGCTGATATAGTTAGGGAAACTTCAATTCGTGATAAATATTTTTAGACTTCAACTTTAATATTTGAAATCAGTTCCATGAAATCATGCTAATGGTCCTCTTCATGAGAAAAATTATTGTTTTTTGTAGTCACAAAAAAGGAGTATAAGGTCTGTCATTTCTTTCAATTATATCATTTTTTGTCACAGCTTTTCAAATGTTAAACAAATTTACTAGTAACATCATAGGAATTTTTCTGAAAAGAAGTAATTGATTATAGCATGAAATCATGAGAATTGGAAATGATGGCTTATTTACTTTTTTGGCATTAAAAAAATAAAGTAAATTACTTGGTAATAATGACAAAAATGTGGAAGTAGCTCGACTTCAAGAACATGTTTCAACATAGTAAACAGTGTATATTATTATTAGGATAACAGCATTATCTACTCCAAGGAATGTAAACCACTAGGTTTTAACAAATTTGAATTATCATAAATATGTCTATTATTGTTACTAAGAACAATTTGAATGACCAATATTTATTAACAAAGACATTAACACGTTTTACAACACCTCTTTTATATTATACAGCACTTTACCTTAATGTTTTTGTAACCTTTCTCAAGAAAAAAAGTAGATAATAAAGACAATCAATGTATAAAACTGAAGATTAAAATTGTGTTAAGAACTATAAAATGACTTAATGTACAGTTCATTATAGTAACTAAGATTGAATAATTTTAACAAGTTGAGACAGAAAATATTGTTAATACAAAATCTTCATGGTCTAAAACCACTTTGCTCTTCTGAGTGTGAAATTTGCATTTCAATTCTATTCTTTAGCACATTAATACAGTCTAACCAAAGACGAAGTCGCACTTATCCCTTCATAATTATTACAATCGTTTTTGTAAATTGAATTTATGTAAGCTAATTTCCATATTTCTGACATTTTACCTCCTCTTAAAATGCCATTGAATGTTTATGTAATTAATTCCAAACCTACAATAGAATAATGTTTTACCAGCTCTATGGATATGCTTTATTAATATTATTATTATATTGTGATTATATTATGATTAATTTCTTCAAAACTTTCAATGGAAATTGTTCATGTAACACCTACAATTTAAGTGTGTATATACAGGGGTTCTCAGTTGGCTCATTTTAAGAACTTCAAGTGTAAATTCTTTTCAGGTCACTTGCTGGTTCTGAAGCTGGGGCAGGGGATGATTTTCAAAAATCAAGAGTTTGGGTTCTGTGTAGTGGTCCTATTCTCCCTCAAACCTAATGGTACAAGCACAGAATGAAATTCAATGACAACAGTTGTAATAATGCACCGTGTTGTACTTCTTATTGATCAGTACTTTGTGATTTTTGTAATGATATATATCTTTTTTAATGTCAATGATTTGTAATACATAACACAAACACAATTTGATAATTTAAGTTTGTGATACAGCCATTTAAATTCATTCATGAAAACCTGCTTATGTAATGAACTTGGAATTAACTGACCCGCTAAATTCAGCAAATTTCAGGCCAGATTCATCAACACTGTGCATAGGGCCTGACTAATAGTTTCAGAAAGGAATGCATGTTTCTCATATTTAGAACCTGTATAATTGGAGAAATCTTGTAGGATTTTTGTCGCATTTAGGTGTTTCTGTGAGTTTTCTGCATATTATGTATACAGAATTGTCATTGATAATAGAAAAGAGTGATGAATAATGGTGATTAAGAATTTGTTTCTTCAGTGTCCTGTATAGTTTGCTTTTTCAGGTAATTAATAATGGCGGAGGGGAGCTTAGTGCACATTATCCCAGCCAACTAATAGTGTTGGAGTATGAACTACCTGCAGCTTCCTCGGGGAACAGCAAACCAAATGATGCTCCCCCTTCACGCACCACAAGCACCATTTATGAGAGCATGTATGATGTAGGAAAGTTACGAGACTTGTTTGGAAAGGCGAGATTTGCACGGTGTCGTGCCAGGTTTCCTCTCCCTGTGATCCTGTATCGTGGAAAACATGTTTGTAGGTGAGAAGGATACTCCTCATAATGTATTTTTTAAATTAGTTTTTCACATTTTAAGTGGAATTTTTGACTAGTGTGTCACCTGTATATTGGAGATATGGAGCATTTTGCTCAATACCTTGTGAAAATTATATGGTTGTGTGGCATACCAAAAGAGGTCAATGTATTGAAAATATTACTTCTGGCACTTTACTACATCAAGGCTTAATTGTTTTAATTGGGCTTGGCCTGTGTCTCTGTTATTTTCCCCATCATATATGAATTCGGGTAATTATGATATTGCAGAAATTCATTAATGGTCAAAACAACTGGTCACAGAGATTCTACAGGCCATAAAAAGTTTGTCTTGAAATTTTGGGTAAAGAATTATTTTATTTTTTGCCATTACTTAAAAATTATCTTCTGAAGAAAGTTCTAAGAAATCATAGAAATTTAAGTGAATATTAACTTCTAAGAAACAACAAAAAATTTCAATAACATTTTAGGAATAGTGTTGGTCACTTGGAGCAAAATTTGTTTCATGGAATAGTCCAAAAATTTTATTGAAAAAGGAAACTAGTTTATTATGCGTCTTGAAATTATTTCATATTTATAACAGTTAGGAGATTGTGAGAAATATCAAGGATTTACTTTTAATGGGGATTAGAATTAAAATAAGATTAATTTTTGCCAAGAAAGTTTCACCCTTCACCATGGTGAATTTTAGATAGAAAAATGTTAATTGTATTAAATTATACAATATTGATAAAAACAGATTTTATTCACAGTTCAAAAATTTTAACACCTGAAGTGACAGTATGGCCAAGAGATTTCATTCTCAAGAGTGAAAAAAACAGTATAAGCTTGAGTTGCACTGCTGCGTTTGTTTACGAGGTATGTAACCAAACGCAGCAGGGTTTTTTTTCCTTTTTTTTTTTCCCTTCGTGATTGTAGTCAAGATGTAAGCAAATTGTCCCATTTTGAAGTATGTAGTATTTCCAATTACATTAAATTCAATATACAATAAATTTTACTTCATTTGTTGTTAGTACAGTGAAGTAAAGTAAATGGTTGCTTAGAAAGTTTAATGGAGAAAAAAGTTTTTTTTAAATAAAGCATTCCAATTGAATATATGCATCTGAAATTTTCAATGTGCTACACCTCTATTCCTTGCTTAAATGAAGTCTTGTGTTTCAGGTCAGCTACTTTATCAGGAGGTCCAGAAATATATGGAAGGTCTGGTTTTGACTACTTTTTCTCTGGTAGTGAGAATCCACCTGATGACGAAGAAAAGGATGATGGAGATGAAAGATTGCCACATGCTCAGAGTGATTGGCAACTATTTGATCGGGTCAGAAGCCAAGATATTAGATTACTTAAAACTTTAAATGTTGGCACAATAGTGGATTTCATGGTGGAGAAGAAGAAAGTCAAATTTGGAATGAAGTAAGTTGGTTAGAAATGTTTTAATAGAAAGTTCAGAAATGAGCATAAAATGTGAAGGTGGACAATAATTGACACAGTGGAGAGAGAGAGAGAGAAAGATAGTGTCTACACCGTTCTCATTGCTGTGTTGGAAGGGAGATCAGGAGTACTTACTTGCCTTGCCTGCCAGCCACACATCCTTCGCTGGAATTTAAATCTGTATAAGGTCTCTTAATAATGCAGATTTTTATTTGATCAAAGCTGTTAAATGCATTAATTGAATTTGAAATTGGCATCACATTACAGTATACTTTTCTATACATGCTTATCACATAAACCCTAAAGCCCCTACAGTATAATCCTGAATTCTTGCTGACTGAATTGTGATTTTATTAGCTGTAATAGAATCTTGACATGTGCAGTACATTAATAACCAAGACAGGCTGTCAAAAATGAGATATGGTTTCGTTTACTGTATATTTCCTAAGTTGCGTATGATGTGGTTTCTGAAGTAGTATTTGATAAGTATGTGCATGCTAGTGTACAAGTACTCTGCAGATATGTTTGCTAATATGTTGTTTCTAATAATTTCTGGTTAAACAATATACAAATCTAAACTTGATATCTATTATTAGGTTTATTGCTCTGGGAATATTTACTTCTATAGTATTTTTCAGTTAATAAATTTACCCAGAAATTAAAAGGGAAGGGGAAGAATTGTTTTCTTTATAATATTCCATTCTATGATAATTGGTTCTAGGTTAGACTCGGATATGTACATTTCTTACGTGTAGTAGAGATGTGACTTTGACATAAATGTTTTCAAAACCTCAATGCTTTTTACTGAAATTTTGATTAATTAGTATAGTTTTTAGCATGACATTTTTTCATGCAAGTTTCATAATCACAATTTTGTACGAGTTAAAATATCAAAATATAACTGATGATGCCATACTCCTTTCCAAATCTTTCTACAGTGAACTGAGGAAGCTCTGACCACTTCAGGTGACCCTGAGCACTCAGACTTAAAGGGTAGTTTTGTTAATTGTTGAATGCAGAGGCTTCCACAGCCAGAGTTAATTGATTTTTGGCTGTCTGGAAAGCACTGCCTCCTAGGCACAGTTGCCAATGTGCGACAGTCAAAGTGTTGGCAACTGTGCTTACGACACTGTCTCTCATGGGCAGCCAAATAGTAATTCCTCTTATATTTTGGTTTGTTTAGTCAATTATAAATCTTAATTCTAAATAAATAAACATGACCCCTGTCAAATTAATCAATTTGAATTAAATCTATAGATTTTAATCTTAAACATCAATGTTTTGTAGCTAATGTTGCATCCCTAATGGATAGTAATGTACATTAATTTATTTCTTGAAATGCAACAGTTGTTCTGATGTACCTTCAATTATAAGTTGTATAAAAGTTTTCTGTTTTGGGGAAAGTCCATCTCTTCCATTTTGAAGTAAAGAGAAGGTGCATAGTTAAAAGGTGCCTTTGGTGCATTGTTCATGTTGTGGCCTTAATTATTGTTTAGTCATATAAAGTGAGAAAAGCATTGTAAGCTTGAAGATTTCTTATAATGTAGATAACTGTAGCAGGGGTCATAAAGTTAGTATTAGAGAGAAGGCAAGAGGCATATAACAATGAGCAATTGATGTACCCAGTTCAATTTGTGTAAAGAAAATGCAATGTTCTTACATGCATTATTCATAACTTAACAGTACCTGTAAAGCTTTGTGCAACGAGTTAAGTGCTTTGAATTGGCTTACAGATTAAAATTGACATTGTAGAATTGTTGTAACCGGCTAGTTGCTATGTGTGGCATTTAATAGGAAATTGTTTGTACGTACACAGGAATATTATGCCAGTCTGTGTGGACTTGTTTACTTTTCCCATACTTCTTGAAATAAATAACATAAAAGCTATAAAAATGTACCGTATTAAAAAGTGAATGTGGTTGAAAATAATTGCTAGTTTGATACAATGTCCTGTTGCTAATTTCCTTGTGCAAGATAATGTGTAACTGTGTATATTTTTATATAGTCTTGTGAATTGCAGACCTGTCTTGTCCTGTCTTGTAACAAGAAGTGTTGTTTATTTCCTGAAATCACTAATAACCAAATATATTTGGAAAGAGTGATGTGATGATTAATCTAATTTGATATAATCTTTCAGTAGGTGATTTATCTTTTCTCTACAGAGGAGATGAAGTGTACTCACAGACTTGCTAATGATCCTAAAGTACAGAGACAAAATTTGACTACTATATTTTCTTTGTGGTTGTTGAATTTGGTGCTACATAATACTTTTGTTCTAATAGTGTTACTTCATCTGAGAAAGTTGACAAAGAAAATAGATATTCTGATTTCACCATAATCTCATTACCATATCCGGGATGTGAATTCTTCAAAGAATACCGGGACAACAATTATGTGGCCAAAGGACTGGTGTTTGATTGGATGCAAGCGCATGTGGATGCAACAATTGGTGTGCCTGATGACACAGTTTCATCACAGTTGAAAATTGATTGGAATAATTACAAAGTAAGCTCTGCTTCTCTTCTTTCTTCTCACATGTTAAAAATGTGCACATTTTTTTCTGTTTAATGCATCTTGTTTGTCAAATACTTACAATAACTAATTGCTCTCCATCATTCTTATCCATTGCTTTGAAGCAGTATTCCCTCTCCAAATCCTTATACATGTTCACACACAAAGCAGAAAATTCACTTGAGCCAATGATCAAGCATCCATTGTTCACATTTCAATACTACACATGTTAAAAAGAGGTTATCTCCTGAGATGTGCCATGTGGTTTATCCTCTGGGTAAAAAATCCAGTCACTGGGATTGAACTGTAGGTTCCCATGGGTTGAAATAGTGCCCTCGGAAAGCTGTCTGCCCAACAGCACTGCCCTCGCTGTTCCCACACAATGTGGCAACTGATACGGCGATTCCAAGAACTGCAAAATTTATTTTGTGTTATGGAAGGCGAACATCTTTGAAAACGTTCTTTGTTACTCAATTCTGGTTTCACAAATTTCTACTTGTTTGTAATAATTTGATAGTAATACAGAAGTTTCAAAAAGCGTTTGACATTTGAAATTACAGTACTGTCTAAGTCTGAACAGATCAGGACCAAAAAATTCCTGTTTAGGATTGTTTCAGTTTTATACAGAGTTGTTCATTTTATGAGGGTTTTTGTGGTATTGAAATTTCTGTCCTAATACTAGTCAATTTTAATGACATCATTATAATTATTAAAATATATTATCTGGGGTTAACAAATAACATTGATTAACATAATACCAAAACTCTTTGAGTCTTCAATTACAGATAAGTTGAAAAAGATGGTTTATCCATTTCTTTCTGGTAGGCAAGTCTGGTTTCTGGTTTGTTTGTTTTTATTAATAAGCGTAGTATTGAGACCAACCTAACGTATTACACTCGCTATATATTGTATTATCTGTATGATAAAAGACAAGGTCATAGTATATACACAGACTTCAGCAAGGTATTTAACTCAATCAATTATACACTTCTTCTTCAAAAACTGAAATCCTTCAGTATTGCAGGCAGTTTTGCAATGGTTCTATAATTGTCTCACAAATAGAATGCAATATGTCAAAATAAATAATGCTTTGTCGAATGGTATCACTGTTTTGTCTGGTGTTCCACAAGGTTCTCATGTGGGTCTGCTTCTGTTTATCGTCTTCATAGATTTGAAGTTAGCTTCGAAGGGTGTTGAATTTTTGCTGATTATTGTACAATTTTTAAATCTATCTCAAATCATAGTGATGTCATTAACATACAAATTGCGCTTGATGAGTTTAATAATCGGTGTGGTTGAAACAAGCTTATATTGATCCTGAGTAAGTACAGATCTATCATGTTTTCACAATCCAAACCTTTAATTGATTTTGTATATTCTGATAACTTGGTAGCTTTGGAGCAGGTTAGTCATCCATGATTTTGGAGTTATTTTTGATTCAAAAACTTCCTTTGTCGATCATATTGACCACACTGTTAATGAGGTGAATCAAATGCTTGGTTTTATTAGAACTTGCTTAGGTCTCAAATCTTTCGATACTTCGGAAACTCTTTATTTGATGATTGTGAGGCCAATATTGATGTTCTCGTCCAGAGTCTGGTCTACTGGTTTCCAATCCCACATAGCTAGATTAGAAACCGTTCGACATATGTTTTATAGAATTGCTGCATCACGACTTGAATTGTCTGATCCATTTATTGATCATAATTATGGATATCTAGCGGTTTAACTTTGTTTGCCTTCCCTTAGAACTCTTAGAAATTTAAATGTTATTTTCATTTAAACTTTTTGCACGTATGATGGATTGCTCAGTTCTTTTAAATCAATTGATGTTCACAGGTCCATTACATCAATAGAAAACACCACATTTGTTCGTAAAATTTATTCACTAACATATACAGAACATCAAATAGAATGTGTAAACTTTTCAATGATAGTTCTCTAGATGCATTTCATATTGGGTCAGATATGTTTGTGACTCAAGCTAAACGTAGAACACTTGTATATGAATTATTGGATCAGTGAATTCACTCACAGACTGTCTACCATTTTTTTGTGATCTTATTGGCAAATAATGGACTTGAGTCCATATATTTTGAAATAAATAAATGAACATATATTGGCAATTTCTTCTGTAAATACATTATATCTATATTTGATATTCTTCATTGACAGCTTCTGAGTTTTCCTTGCTTTTATAACTTTCACCTTTTCATCTAAGGTTAGAGTTTGATGGTTTTTCCAACCATTGTTAAACTCTTGAAACAAAAAAAAATTCACCATCTCACTGCTTGCTGACACATTTCAACATACAACGTATCACAGCCCAGGGAACTGACTTTCTAATACCCTTGCATGGCCTTGAACCATGCGTCTGTGGTCAAGGGCTTACAATTCTTAATGCATGGCAGGGCGCCATGTGAATAGAAGCCATGCCCGTACCTTTCCATGCTTGGAGTGTCGGAAGGGAGAAAATTCCCCTACAGTCTACCCGTTGAGAGTTAAGCGGCCCAAAGGTTGAATTCTACATTGAAGTCTCTCTCCTTTACTGTGCTGCTGCCATGACTAAATTGCGTGCCCCAGGAACAGAGAATTTAAAAGACACTTGCAGATGCTTTCATTTTATTTAGAATATCTCGCTTCTCTCTGCCAATAGCATTAAATTATCAGGAATTCTGTTTTATAATTTGTTTCCCCTCTGTAGGACAAATACCATTGTGTTTCCACTTTGGATAGGTTCCGTTTCATGTTGGGTAAAATGCTGTTTAACATCTCATGCTGCAGACATTTTCTTGTTTAGGCAGGTTTCCGGCTTGTAGAGGCCCTGGTTTACACAGACTTCACTGTAATACATTTTTAAATGTTTTACATGGCTGAAAATTTAATGAAGTTGGAGAGATTAAGGCAACTACCTCTTCCCCTCCTATTACTTTACACCTGTAATAATATCTAAATGCTATGCTAACAACACTGAATCATTCAGTAAATAATATGCGTGAGATTTATTCTGTATTATTTTAATTTTTTGAAGAAATTGATTTTTCAAATAGAACTAAAGAATTCACAATCAAACCTCGGTGGTATGAATTTTTGTAATATAATAATGCAATGTCTCATCACAGCAGCTGTTTATGGAATTACTATATAGTGAATACTCAATATCGTGAATTAAGTGACTGATTCAATTTCTTGCACGACACACACCTTTTTGGATATTCAGATTCACGTGCAATTTCATTAGCCCTTACAAATCTGGGCAATACCCATGTAATGAAATGTACTATGGAGTATTAGAAATGGTGTTTTATAGAAGTTTCACATAAGGACCTTATGTGACTGTGCCAGCCACAGTAGAGAGTGCATTGGCAGTGCCAGGATGCCTCGTGTTCATGGGTTTTATGACACCTATAAATCAGAGTCAGATTTTGTTGCAAGTTTGATCATTGAACGAAGAGTGGAAAAGTCATATGCACTGGCTTCTTTTTATTTTGATGAAATATACAATTACACATATTCTTTATAGTCTAACTTTGAGCTCTGACAGGTCTTTTAACTTGTGTGTGTGTGTGTGTCTCTGTCCACGTTGTCTGTGTGTGTGTGTCAAAATTGTTCTCATAATGCTAATTTTTCTAAATCAGATGGCTGGACTGAGCTGAAACATAACTGTGCATAGTGTACATTATCAGTTATATAGTTAATTAGACAATTTCTCATGTGTCCAACACTAGTAGTGTAACATGAGAAATTTTTGCAGTAAAAAACGAAACTGTAGATAAAAGGATCTAAGTAAAGAAACCGTACAGTGGAATCGCTTGTCAAAAACGTATGTATTCGATGTGAGATTGTAGTGTACCGTGTACTAGGAAGGAAACGACCATTAATGTTATGACATGGATTGTGTTAAGTGTTAATTGGGAATAGTGATTCCTCTTATTCAGAAATTCAAGGAACTTGGAGAAACACATTGGGTGATCTTATTATGTTTGCAACATCCTCTGAAACCTTTGTTAGATCTTTTTGTCCTGGTCATGTATTAGCATATGCATTGCTGGAGTAAAGTCCATTCCTTTATTACATTCCATTCCAAGCATTACTTTATTTTGGTGGTAATATTAAAAAGTGTTTGTTCGTTTGATAACAAGTTGCCAAACCATTTGTATATGTTTGACAGAGATTGCACCCAATATCATCACTTAGTTCCATTGTCTTGTAAGACGCAATTTCATTAACTAAAAACAAAGATGAGCAAAACATTAACACTTTCGATCCTCAGGACATATCTGATAAGTCATCTTCATTTTACTGCTGTGTCCTATGGATGCATGTCATATGTTCTTCTATATTTAGTGTCTTCGACATGCTATAAATGTCTTTTGGACATTCGCAGACACTTAGAATACCCTTTTCAATATCATTAAGATGGTCATAAGACAAACGTCATTGTGTGCTTCTACTCTTTGAAGGCTTTTGCAATTTTTCAAGGAATAGATAAGATATTCGTATATTACTACTTGTTAGCATTGTCAATTACATTCAGAAAGTCTTTTTGTAAGTAGTATTTGTGCTGTTGTTGACAAATACAAATGTTTAGAAGACCTATATACTGATGTCAAATTCATAGCAACTCAATATTAGAAAATCAAAAGTTTTTGAATAACAGATCAGAACTAGATTCTTCTGATGTAGACAACGATTTTATTCCCAGACAGCTGTCTAGTCTGAGCACAAACACACGCACGTTCAAGCTCTTGAGGATGACACCATAACAGCTGATGAACTACTGTCTAACTCGAAGTATAGGCTTTGTAAAACATGCAGAATTCTTGTATAGAATTTAGAATCAATTCAGTCACACACAAATGCATGTGGAACAGCATTATCCCAATGTAATAATACTAATATCTCTCGCATTAATTCAACTTCTTCCCCTTGCAATTATTGTGTTGCAATATGTTTTAATTTTACAACTGATAAAGGCAGTATATTTTTTATTCTAGCATATACATAGCTTCACTTGCATATAGATAGCAAAATTTGTAATGACAGAATATTTGAGATGATTTAAATGGTTGTATCAGTTGAATTAATAGGCTGTGGTTTGTGGTTTTCCTTATTGTTTCAGATGTGGGATTTGGTGAAGTTGACTCAAAACTACTTGAAGTTGTTGTTGCGTTACCTACAAGAAAATAGCTCAGGGTTGCTGATTCATTGCATCAGTGGCTGGGACCGAACACCACTTTTTATATCTCTATTGCGTTTATCTCTGTGGGCTGATGGTACAATACATCAGTCTTTAAATGCATGTCAGATTTTATATTTTACAATTGCCTATGATTGGATGCTCTTTGGACACAATTTAGAAGATCGCCTTGGGAAAGGCGAAGAGATATTTTTCTTTTGCTTTGACTTCCTTAAGCACCTGTCTGGTGATGAGTTCAGTGTGACAGCACGTCCAAAGTCAAAGCATGTGTTGCGAAATGATTCTGACATCCATCTGGACAGTTTGTTGTTTGATGGAGAAGGAACTGTGAACTGCCTTGGTTCAAATGTAAGCCTGAACAGTTCATGTAGTTCACAGAGTAGTAGAAGTCAAGACAATCCTCCAACTGTTTTCCATAACGTTCCTGATGGCTACGAAGAATCTGCTAACGGGTATTGTATTTCTTTTTTTATCTTAAGAATAGAATACATTCTTTATATGAGAGTTGGGGCTTAAGTTGTGGCAACTTATTCTAAAGCAGTTTAGCATATATGAGTTCAGAATATTTCAAAAGCATTACATACCCATTTTAAAGACCCAATTAGTCAAACGCTCAATTACCGCACATGCCATGCCGGTCCGCACTCTCGCGGGTCATCTTATGCGTTGTTGAACACTGGTTGCTGTGCATCCTCGCATACTCTTCTGCCCATGTAACAACTGTCCGGTATAGAAAGGCCCATTATTTCCAAGATCTTCCAGCAATGTGACATTCTCAGACATTTTTGCCATGGAGAATGGCTGTCTTGGTGTACGAGTGCTACTCAAAACTGGTTACATTATTTTGCAAGAAGGCAGTCTAGCAATGGATTCCACATTGCTCTTTGTGCTAATAGAGACTCGCAGAGCCATCTGTTCTTGAGAACACACATTAGAATTACATTTCATTCATGCAACAAATGAAATTGTGTGATCAAATAACCTTGTAGAAAAAAAAATAGTTCCCATGACTTCTGTCCAACCCTTGTATGTTGATGATTTCTTAGATAGATCTTCTAGTTACTGCTCTAATAGATAGATACAAATTGTTATTGGTACAAAGCAAATAATTACAGTGCTTAACTTCACATATTCAATAGCCTTGTAAAGCCAATAATAAGATTGAACAAAAATGTTTGTACCTTCCAGATTTCAATTTTAATGTTGTTTTAATTTGACAATGAACATTTATTGCTAATAAAGTATGATTAAAATGTTAATTCTTGTGAATTATGAATTATTCATTGTTACCAAGTAGTATGTTGCAATTACTTTGGTGAAAAGATAGTATTGTGCAGCATTTTATTAGCGGGAAATATAATGGTATGTTATAAAGAATACCAATATAATTAAAATTCGTTTTCAATTAATTCAGGTTTATAATAAATGTTTTTCTTAACACATTTTTTATTATTTAGTTATTTGTTGGATAGGGGTGTTAAGTCTACAATCAATCTGTCAAAGTTAAAATTTCGTATTGTTGTGTGTTGTATATTTATTAAGCAAGTTATTACAAGTGTGCGAAATTGTGCAGTGCATATCCCCAATATGAAAGGAATGTGTTGGTTGGTTTAAAAGGATGGAATATGCTGGTGAAAGTGGAGAAATGTGGAAAGCAAGGAGAGGTAGTCAAGACATGTCATTAGCCCTTCAACAGGCTAATTTTCTAAAACAGAAAAGTGATATAAAATATAATATTGATGTTGATGCTTTGGCCCACAGCAAAGATGATACCAGACGTAGATATGGACAAAATTGCTTCTATATGACATGTTGAAATGCAGGCCAAAAACATTCGTATAACTGGCTACTAATGTGAGTGTTCATGATTCTTCACTCTTTTATTTGGGTTTCCAGAACTCTTCAGGAATACTGCTGTGCTTCATAGATTCCAGGAAAGATATGGCTATTCTCACAAGATAATAGATGATGAAGCTTATAATACCCGAAGGGAGCTGCATCTTTGTCAGCTGGAGACTAAACGAATTGCCTTGAAAGAATTTTCACACAGCAGACATTCATAACGCAGATAAGATTTACAAATCACTGGTAAACAAAACTCTTGAATTCAAAGGAAATAGGCGTGTTGGGGCAAAAGAATGGATAATTGCTCTTGTGCCCAATCTTCAAAGGAATGAAAAATTTTAAGCAACTCGTTTTTGGGAAGTGTGGATAGCGAAGTCTTGAAGGAGGTACAGTAGAACTCCTATTTTACACTTTTCAAGGAACCAAGAGAAAATTATGTAAATGAGTGGTACACAAGACACTTCTACTACATGTGAAAATTGTATTGAACCGATCAGAATAATGTGTTGCTGGGGTCAGTTTTACTTCCCTTCTTGAAGATAGGAACAATATATGCAGAAGTTGAGTTTCCAACAATGGTAGATTCTTACCATATCGCTTCATTCATCCATTGCTCTCTCGTCAGCGGTGGCACAGAGTTTCTCTAATGCAGTAGTCTAGCATAGGCCTCTGGCATGGTTCTCACCGGAACTGCTCCAGCAGCTTGGGTGGTCCGTTTATATACTGTGATGGTAATTGTCAAATTCTTTCTGGAAGCTTTTAGCAAGGAAACTTCTAGGGCTGTACATCGTATTTTCAGTTCCGAAATGTGTAGGTTTTCTTGTTCGTGTGTGTGTATATATATACATATGTAAGAATATTGTCATTTTAATGATGTCTCATCACATCCTTATGCTTTTGTATGTATTTGGAAAAAAATCGCTCCAGCTTCCTTTTTTTTTCCCCCCCCTCTTCTATATGGATCCTTTCCAAATAACCTTCCTGAGCAGTTACTTTCACTTTAGTAGTTCTCTCGATAGTTTCTACAATTTTCCATGATTTTTCTTTTGCCATGACTGCCCTGTTTTACTTTTTCACTTTAATGTGTTCTTATTATAATATTCTATATTTTTGCTAGTTTTATACCACACGTAGAGCTCCGTAATCTTTACTAATGATTTTCTTAAAATTCCACGTGTTTTCATCTTACATCTCCTAAAAACAACCTATTTTAGCAAATATATATGTTTACATATTTCACTGTGGCCCTTTGCCCATCAGGTGCCATTGTCTTCCTAAGCAAAACTCGTATGCCTCAACCCCCTACTCAGACTTGCTGCAGTTAAAAAACGCCTTGGTTAAGTATATTCGTGTTTGTAGAAAAGTTCGCATAGACTACAGAAGGAAGAAAACTGTATGTAAAAGGTTAATGAGTGTTATGTCTCACAGTCACAGCAAATTCAATTATTTCACAACTAATGAGCAAATTAGTGAATGTGTTTGTTTCATAATTATGAAATTGAATGCAAATTTATGTATTTTCAAGTTCTTTAAATATTACAAAACTGCTTCAAATTTTGTATTTTTGTTCAAATTTTGTGCATTACTTATTACTAATTTTTTATTGTAATTTTTAGCAAAGTATATTCTAGTTATTGTATTTTACATAAATAAGTAATAATGCTATTGATTTTCATTGTGCATGAACATATTTTTTGCTGTTTGAAAAAGGTTTCTAGTGCTATTATATCTAGAGCCTTATTATTGTAGAATTAAAAATTAGTGTCATTGTTATGTAGCCTACTCTAAGATGTGTCTTCTCTGCAGGAACATAACTGTGCAGAGTTTGGGCGCACAGCATTGGCAGATGTGTTCCTTAGAACCTCATAATACTCCATCGGGTGCTCCTAATGTTTGCCCTCGATCACCTCTCTCCAATAGAACCAGTCCTGTTGCTGTGCCTGTGAGCAGCCGGCTTCGCCATCGTAATGACTCAAGTAGTTCCCTTAGTGTTGGCAGGTGAGTTGTTAATTTGTGGAAAGTAACAAGCATATGTTTTTATCTCAAAATTGTTAAAATCTTTTTAAAAAAAGAGAGTGTTTATTAGTCTATGGGCAGCATTGAAGCACAATCTTCTTATGAATTATCAGCATCCTTTACCTTGTGGAAAAATAACCATATGGTGTAATGAAATAGAACAATTAAAAATAAATGTCAAAATAATTCAAGGGAAAGTGTAGGGTCATGTCCTAGGCAATATACTGTTTCTTATTTAATTCTTTTCCTATAAATAGGGAATATTTCTTGCAGCTAGCTATTTAAGTAAGAGTGTAGGTAATACAAATTCATAGTTTTGATTCTCGATCACAGAGCAAGAGAGGATTGCTTGCGGTCTTGTTTTTATTAATTTTGTATCCTGTAACTTACAATTTGCAGTGTGCTTTATGAACAATGACTTCTTCTGGTGCATTATGATCGCATTCATGCAAGTCTCTATAGGCAGTGTGAAAATAATTTATGGATATACTAGAGCCAACCCATCAGAAATTATAGAGGAAAAATAAAACTCCCTATAATAGGCTAATAATTCATTGTAACGAACAGTTTAATACAATTTAACTTCTTTAAAACTAAATTTCAGTTCTCTTTAATTCCAAAATTTCCTTTAATATCATTAATAGGTCTTCAAGCTAGGGTCCATAATCTTTTAGGTGACTGCGGCAATTTTAGAGAGACCTTGAAGGGAATCTCAGGTGAAATATTAGTGAATTTTAGTTTTTTATAATTTTTCTAAGTGTGTTAGTAACAGGAAATTTGCAATGAATAACAAATTTAAATTAATATATCATTTTTTTTAAACTTATTAATTAAAAATTGAATAGTATTTAAAAAGGACAAAACGTAATAAATAAATTTGTTACTTATAACATATTCTCTTGAAAATTAGTATACAAACCAAACATGCATTTTCTATTAGACACTATTGCAATCTTGTTGAATCCTGTATTATCTGATGTGAAGGTGTTGCAATGCACAAATTGGTGGTGCTTGCATAATAGATGTCACTGGTCCTGGCCACCAAGATAATTCTGTAAATATATTTTGAGATTTGACTAGAACCCTCCATGGATCATATGATACAAGGCTTATATGTACATAAAAACTTGTAAGAGCCTCTCGTGCTTCAATCTTGTTAGTGGCATTGTCACTGAGCAAAAGAAATTTTTCATCTTGGTTCTCGGAAGATAATACATTTGAAAACGAAGTGGTGTAAACTGAGATTTTCAGAGCCAAATAAAACTTAAAATAATAATGGTAATGATGATGATGATAAATGCAAAAAAATCCCAGGTTTCTATAGTGCTTGTGTTGCTCAAACTTTACAATTACAGGGATGCAGGAAATTGTTATACATACTGCATTGTAAGTGTCAACTGCACAGCAGTTTACAGAAAACGTCAACTGTTACATTGTTACAGCTGGCAACTCATTTCTGGGACTGGAAGTTTACGTGGTTCAGCCTCGGCTTCTGTAACTGCCTCAACTGGAGAATCTAGTGCTCCTAATTCACATGCTAGTAGTCACCAGTCATTGTAAGTTACATTTCTACAATTGTTTCATTTATTTATTATTTCGCTGCAGCTGTACATCTGATTATGCCTGTGTGTGTGTGTGTGTGTGTGTGTGTGTGTGTGTGTGTGTGTGTGTGTGTGTGTGTGTGTGTGTGGATCGGTGTGGGGTGTAATAAACTTCAAATGGCTCATCTACCAATAAGCTCTGAAAATTTGATATGAAACAAGGCTTTCTGTACAAAAATTTGCATTTCAGAAACATTTAAGCACTTCAGAAGCATGTGATTTGTTTACTGTTTACAAAAGAATGGAATATATTTGTTCAGAAAGAAAAATTGTCAGAAAAAGCACCCAATTGGCTAGGAAGGGATTGTACAAATGGTCCATGACAAATGTTAATTGGTTTTTCATTTCAGTGATTCATTGATCTTTTTTGTAAACAAATATATTTATTTCTTTTGGAACCAATAAACAATTCACATAATCCAGGAGTGTTTAGATGTTTCCAAAATGCAAATTTGGCTTAGAAGGAATTTTTTTTCAAAACAACTTTTGAGTGCTTATTACGGCACAGCCATTCAAAATATTGAAAGAGTTTATTCAACTTAATGTGCTTCAAATTGGCTTAAGAGCTTATTTTCAAAGATTTGTTTTCTTTCCTCCCTGGACAGGTGTATATGTGTGTGTGCGTGTGCATGCAAATTGTAACATATTCAGTGTTATTAATTATGAAATTAACAAAAACATCAATATATGATCTGGTTTCAAATTTATTGGTTTGAAAAATTTGGAATATTTTAAATTTCAATCAAAATATCACAAGCTTCTTCAATTTTGGAAAAAAATGTTAATAACTTCATTTAAAGATGGAATTTTGAAGAATTTTTTTTTTGCATGATTTTTGCATGCAAAAATGCAAAAAAAAGATGCATTTTTGCATGCAAGAAGAATATAAAGAAGATTTAATCTCTAGCTTTAGTAATATAGGTCAGGGGGAAAGGAAAAAATGCAACTTTTCCTCTCTTCATAAATTCAGAGTTTTAATGAAAATAAGACCTATACAGGGTTCAAACCTGGAAATGTGAGAATAATTTGTATTGAAAAACAGCAGGCAATTCACTGTACACCTGTGTGTCCTTTTTCAATTGAAAATATTCTTAAGGTGATGTCAAAAGTTTAGATTCCCAGAGTTAGTGTGCTTGTAAATAAAAATAATATAAAAAAACTCATAATTAAATAACAATTATGAGTTTATTTATTTTAACAAATAATGATCAGAGCACTGTTCATTAATTATGCGAGAATGTATTTAGTAAAAAATATTTAGGTTTCAACTAAAATTATAATTTTGTAATGTTTTTTTTCCTCCACTTCTCTGTTCGGAAAATTAGAAACCATTACAAATCAGTATTATTTTAGACAAATTTTGTATTACAAACATGTAAAAAATGTGAGAAGTGGTGCTCTGGTCAAAAATTGTCTAAGTGTTTAGTGATTGTAGTGTGTCCATGGCCTAAAAACACTGAACCCATGATCTGGGGATAATTTAAGTTACTGCTGATTGTCGTTGGCTATATTGAAGATGAAATAGAAGAAATACAAGAGTATGATTGCGGTCCAAATGATGATGATTCAAAACAGCCTGAATTGTGAAAGCTTTTGTGTAACAATCTTTTAGCTGATGATTGTTGATTATAGATAGTTTGAGACAAATTTCAACAAACTAAATTGAATTTATTAGCATATAAGTATTTCGTATATTTGTAACAAATGTGCTAAATTTCAAGAATTTGCTTCCTGAATGTCAGCATGGATTTAGGAGCCACAGATAAACTATTATAAACCTGACAGTTTTTAGAAGCTTTATCGCCGATGCATTAGGGGTTGATTACCAAGTAAACGCAATTTATAGTGACTTTACTAAAGCCTTCGAGAGAGTTAATCATACCATAAATTTTTTCGCAAATTGGTCCAGGATGGGCATGGACAAACCTCTCTGTTCTGGATAAGTTCTTGTTGGACTGGTAGAACACAATATGTATCTACAAAAAACTGTTGTTTAGTCTCTTCTGGTGGTATCCGGAATTCCTCAGGGTTCTCATTTGGGTCCTGTTCTCTTCATTATTTTTATTGATAACTTACCATATCTCTTTTCCTATAGTTGTGCCTTATTATATGCTGATGACACCCAAGATATACCCCATGATCTCAGAGGTGAACAATGGTCAACATTTGCAGCAAGATCTCGATAACTTGAATCTGTGGTTCACTGCTAATGCTATGCAACTGCACACAAATATTTTGCCATAACTTTTTCTTGCCTTACAAATCCTATACATTATCAGTATTCATTGAACGATTGTCCACTGATTATAACATCAAAGATCTTGGAATAATATTTGACAGCTAAGTAAATTTTAATTTACATCTTTTGACGACTGCTGAATGCAATGAGAGAACTCTCAAGTTTCATTATGAGAAACATTCGCGATTTTAACGGCATTAGAATCTTCAAGGTCTTGTATTTTTCCTTCATTAGACATCTTTTGAAATATGCATCCTTGATCTGGTCCCCTTATACACACTTTTGTATTGATATTATTGAGAGGGTTCGGAACAGATTCCTTTTGTACAATGTCATTAAAAACTCATTAAACTACTTTAAAACTACAAACTATTGATTGTAGTGAAATATTATCCAGTGTTGTTGTTTTTTTGTGTACTCTACAAAGATATACCAGAGATCAAATATTGTTTAACACTAAATTTTGTACATCCAATTACACCACCGATATCATTAACAAAATGATAATGATATCAGAATAGATATCATCAGAGAATGATAATGAGTCACCCTATGTATTTATATATCATATATAATTTATATTTGCATTATATTTGTGTATTTTGAGATTTAACATCACTAGATGGTAGATTTATTATATGATGTTATAGAAATGAAACTGGCGGCAATTTTCAATGTGTCTTCTTTTTACAGCTCACTACAACTATTAACTAGTGGTGCTAGAACAGCGTGTACTTTCTCACCTTTAGTAATGGTTATGTAATACTATTTACACCACAATTTCTCTTCAAATTAACATATCTCAGTCATCGTTTTTTGTAAAACTTGTTTGAAATCGTATTACATTTCCTGTGAAAATTAAATAGTTTCATGCAATAGATTTTTTATTCAAACCTATAAATGAAAAGGTCTTTCTGCCATTGAATTCATTGTACAAGGTGTGCAGTGTATTCACGAGTTTTTTTAGCCTTTTTCTGTGCAAGCAGTGTGCGAGAACGTAAAATATTTAAAAGTTAATAAATAATAAGATACTGATAGCATTGGCAAACAAATAGAATTAGATCCAAAAATATATAATGGAAACAATTAAATATAATTGTATTGTAATATTCTCCAAATATGCTTGTTTTAGCCCAAATTACATGTTACTCCTCATCTGAACAAGCAATGCTAAATGCTTTATATGTTTCCACAATAAAATTTCCTCAAATTGTCTTTACTAATGATAATGCAGTACTACTACTGCATTTGGAATTCAACATGTAAATGGGTTAGGGTAGGATATCAAAATTTACAAAATCGTTCACAGAATACATTTTTCCCCATAATACTTCACTCTCAGGTTTTTCTGTTTTTATGTTAAATAAAAAAATATAGATAAACAAAAGCCTCATAATGGTTGCATGTCAATCATGAACAATGAGAATAATTCAACAGAATTTCACATTTCATTGTCATATATTGTTGTCATTCAACAACGAACTTCTGAAATATACATTGTTTCTCAAGGCAGTGTATGTGTTAATATAAAATAAAATGTAAAAATTAATCGTACATAATTTTTTCAATTTTTCTTTAATGTTAAGTATTAGAAACAATGCTAATATAATCCAAACCTAACCAATTCAAAGGAAGGACTTGTGATAGCTGCATTTTTTCAATAGCCAGGACAGTAGTCATTTCCAATTTTCAGAAATGAATTATACCATAATCAGTGATCAAAATGTCTTAAAGTAAAGAAGTAATTTGTTTCTTCCAAGTTAAATTAATTACCTTCCATCAATCTCCTTTCTTTTATAATAGCAATAGTTTTCAGACACTTCTCAACTCATGTTCAGGAAGCTCTGTAAATTTGGAGCAGGCTACTTTGTAGTCACACTACACAAAAAATACTTGTATTTTCAAAGAATTCAACATGACCTTATACCAAGATCTGTTTTTTATGAACACATTTCATTAAGAAAAAAATTTCGTTATCTTCCTACAACTACATTTGTGAAGGTACAATTTTTTTTAAATTTTTGCAAAATTAGACATTTTAACAAACATAAGACCTTCACCATTAACATAAGCATTCTTTATGCTATGTAAAGCCCCGATTTAATCAATAAATCTTAATCATAAGAAAAAGTGGTGTAATGAAAATAAAAATTGTCTGACACAATTTCGAAAAAAAACTAAGTTTTTCGAAAATTTTGAATAGTTTCGATTTTCGAAAAATCAAGGTTTTCAACTAACATGTGACCTACTCCATTCTCTTAAACATCCTTCAAACTACCCACTCACAAAATTTCATCAAAAATGATAGAGCAGCTTTTGAGAAAAATATTGTTTAAACAAGCATTAAGAATTGTCTATATTTCACGCAAAATTTCGCGAAAAATAATTAAATTTTCGAAAAATTGTACATGACCTTATTTCAAGGTCTATCTTTAAAGAACAGGTTTTTTAAAAGGGAAAAATCCCTATTTTTAATGTCTTTGTTGAAAGAAACGCAGAAAATTTAATTTTTTCAGTTTTTGAAAAATTAGTTTTTTAACCAACATGAGATCTCTTCCATTTTCTTCAGCATTCTTCAGACTATCCAACAACAAAATTTAATCAAAATCGATGGCGCCATTGTTTTGAAAATTTTCCAGGGGCTTCATGTAAAGCACCTCCCAAAATTCAAATATCGATTTCTAATTCAAGGTGTCACAGCGCAACCAGATCGATC